TTAATACAGTTTATTTATATCTCAATAAACAATTCCGAAAAAAAAAATCTAATCAAATCCATAACGATGAAATGATACAAAGGGACACTGAAAATATCAAAATAATCAAGGAATGGAACAATAAAACATATAATAAAATAAAACATTATATAATCCATCATACATTTAGTTCTTAAAGTTTTATATCTTCCTTCCTTCAACCACCAACATGACCTCAACTCAAGGGACATCTAGGGACATCTACCCCCTAAGGACTTCTGACCACCCTCATCTCCCATCATACTTGGCACCTGCCCGTCTATCCCTCCCAATTACACACGTACACTTACCTGTACGCACATACACAAATAAACGCATATCCTGCTCACTGGAAGAAAAAAAATAGTTTAGTTTTATCCACTTCTGCAAATGTAAACTTAGTTTAAGGCTTCTCCTGTTCTTCATCCCTATATTGTTGTTTTTGTTTTATGTACTTCAACTGGTGGAGGTATTATCGAACTTGTTTTAGCCCGATAAATCATATATTTCATTATAAAGATAACTGTGTTACGGCATTTAACTCTTTGGGAGTTTCCTGAATTCCTACATGAATATCCTACCAATCTCCATTTCTTAGTTCCACTAATTGTAACATCTCGATAGTATCATGCCATAAAAATTGTCCTTAACACATTTCCAAAACAAATGCGAATACGTTTCTGTACTTTGTTCACAGAAAGAACACTTGTCATCTTCAATAAAACCAAACTTTAATAAATGCTTCTTTGTGTACATCGCCCCAATTAAGTAATTTGTATTGAAATTCTCTTAGTTCCCTAAAGAGTGTCGTGACTCTAGGCCTTACAAAATATGTCTTAAAGTTTTTTTGGTGAAGTCAACATTATTGTGGCCATCTCATTTCTGTAAGCTATATGAATTGTGTAGATTTGTTACATAATATTTGTAAATCTTCCTCGAAGACACATCTCATAACAATATTATTTGTCTAGTAACATTCAACTGAATATTGTATTCATGTATATCCATAATGCACCAGTTAACTGCTCCCCACCATATTTTTTCACTTTCCACCACTGCTTGACAAATATTCCAAATATCTAGAATTTGATCACTACTCGAACCCAAACTCTGAAATTGAGCAATTGATCTAATATTTTCTTTTATCAAAAATGTGATCTAATTGACAAATATTACGGTTATACAAATCCATATTAAGCATCATTTTACCTTTGATTAACAAATCTTTATTGTTAAATATAATCGGATTGATTTTCACTTCCTCAAAATGTCTACATGCAGGTTTCCAACTCTTGTCAAGCTCAAAGGATTCCAAAATAGAATATCGGTACTTTACTGGGCAACTTCTTTGTATCGTATTTACGTTATGTTTTAACGAACAGTTCAAAATTAATCATCCTTAAACCACCGTATCCATAGTCATGGAATATTATCACTCTTTTAATCCGATTCTTCCCTTTCAAAGGAAATCAAAGCAAATTTTGTGAATTTCTGTAGTTTTATTGGCACTACTAATGAAGAAAACGCGTTATCAAAATTTACATAATGCTATACTCACGAACATAACCACACACACAAAGAACAACACAGACAAACGCACATGCTTTACGCCCGTACCCCCATTCACTTCCTTTGCAACTGTAGTATGCAAGTTCAGTTCTGAATGATAACGCTCACTGTTCAGTCATTGTGGCTTTTTGCAAATATATGAGAGACCACAAATGTTCTTGATGTAACACCGACGCCGAATTGATGGCCAATTAAATCGGCGAGCAAAGCGGCGGCAAAGCGTAACAAAGCTTAATTAAAGCGTAAAGACCGTAATAGAGCGTGAGAAAGCTTTGAGCAATTCGGGACATTCGGCAAGAGCGCCAAAAAAAATTAAACTGTTTAAAAATTTGAGGCGATCTGTCACGAATTGCGTAAAGCGGGGAGAGCGTATTAAAGCTTATCAAAGCGTCACAAAGCTTATCAAAGTTTTGCTCAAAGCGTAGGAAAGCTTAACAGAGTTTAAATTTTTGGCGCTCTTGCCGAATGTCCCGAATTGCTCAAAGCTTTCTCACGCTCTATTACGGTCTTTAGGCTTTAATAAAGCTTTGTTACGCTTTGCCGCCGCTTTGCTCGCCGATTTAATTCGCTTTAATTTCGGCGTCGGTGTGAACTTAGCATAACATATCTGAGGAGATCGTGAGATAATGACGCCGCATTGATCGCCGATTTAAAGCGCGACATTCGGCGTCGGTGTGAACTAGGCATAATGTAATCAAAAAAATATGTTCTGTAAATGTATTGTTTAACAGATGCATTATCAGTCTAGATTAGATTTCGAACGATCGAAACAATGAACAAAAAACGGTAATCCGTGATCAATAATTATACTCAGTGTGCTAAGGAATACCTTTTTTTTTTGTGTGTGTGGGGGGGGGGGTAGGGTACCTTCATAATTAGGTACAAAAAGTAAAATAAAATGATAATGATAATGGTATGTATTCACTAGCTATGTTTCCTACTACTTGCAAAATAATATAATTGCTTCTCATTTTGACTTTGTTAAGATTTAAGACGATGCTATGATGAACCGTTTTGTGTTGGATTGCGAACTTGTAAATTTATATTTGGAAGCATCCAATAATGAAATGAATAATAAAGACATATAATATTGTTCAATAGCAAGTGCTGCATACAGGAAGATAATCAAGTATTAAAATGGTCAAATTAAGTATGTATTTCCTCAAATTGTCGTTGAACAGCATGCGGTGAAAACCGTTTTGGATGGGAGTGTGAACTTAAATGTGGTGCTGGGAATGCTCTAGAAGCATGCAGTGGAAGCCAGGTGTGTCTACCCGATCCCTACGGATGCAACTGCCTGGCTGGTTATACAGGAATATACTGCGATGAACGTAAGATACATTAATGTAACATGAACACCACCACATGACTTTCAAAAGATCAACGTAAAGCCCTAATCACACCAAACTAGTTCTCACTACGTTCTGGAACCGTCCTAGAAAATCGTAAAACGGGATTTGGTCGGAGTAGAATGTGTAAATAATGTCTATAATACGATCCTAGTTCGTTCATAAACAGTCCTCAATACGTCCTTCTTGTTTGTTCCCCCTCCACAGTCGGTTCTTCAGATTGGGTAAATTCCAAGCAGTCCAAGCCGTCCGTAGTCAGTCCAAACCCGTTCTTAACTAGTTTTATCTCGTTCCCAATACGTCCATACCCAGTCTGTCTAGTTCGAACTAGTTTGTAAACCGACCACCCCGTTCAGAGACAGTTCAACACATCCTCATCTCGTTCTTAGTGCGTTCGAACGCGCTCCTTGTGCGAGTGCAATCCCTTCCTGGCCCGACGGCTATACAAACCCAGCACGTTCTTGTCATTCTTCATTCCCGTTCAACGCTTCAAGCTGTGCAGATCAAGACTTTCGAGTTTGCCAATTACGGTATGAACAAGCAAAACGACCCGGTCGTACTGCTAATTGATGCTCGACCACGTCACGTTGTAACACGTTCCTTGTAAGATCGAAGTACGGCCATTCCGTTCGTGTGTGTGTGTGTGTGTGTATTTAATTGGGTTTTTACAGACGTGTATCAATCAGATAAAATTACGTCTGGGGACCAACTTTTAACATCACCATCCAAAAGACGTGATTCAGTTTCGAACCTGCGTCCTCGACTGAATCAGTTTGTAACTTCCATTTTTAGCCGGATTACAGTTGCACGCCACAACTCCCTCATATAGGTCCATCTCATTTGAAGTACGTTGTCACTCCGTCTAATTGCAGGGCCGGGACAATTTTAAACAGACTCCCCGGCCAGGCCAGTCCGAGCCCGCCCACGAAGTTTTCAAACAGATCGTTAACAGTTGCTACTATGTTCACTCCGTTCGCACACAGTTTGAGCCCGTTTGGCAACATTTTCCAGAACGTAGTGAGAACTAGTTTGGCGTGATGGGGGCTTGAGGCAATTTTAAACGCCATGTCCATCACCCGTTTGCATGTGAGAGCATTACAATGACGCATTAAGAAATCTGAGTATGATTTCTTCGAGTCGTTGGGTAACACAATCGTAAAAACGAAACTTTGCCACAATGGTGACATAGTTTAATGCAATGGCAAAATATATCTCCGTGGTACCGCTGTTAAAATCGAGAACCCTGTTGTTTTCTTATTTATATTTTTAATCTGCTGAATTTACTGTCGGGAATCAAATTTGAGCCTGTTTCCATGAAATGTCGGTTTAAACTGCCAGCAAGATTATTTTATCCGCAGGAGGGATACCCTCCATTCATTTATTTTTATTTTTTAAATCAGATCGAAGGTCAGCAGTTAAATTTCAGGAATTTTTTCATTAATAGTAATACAGACTTTGGGTATAATATGGGGTCATGGATTTGGTTAAAATGAACATATTTGAAGCATAATTATGCGATCCTATAATTTTCAATGATCGTTGTCGATGTTGAAATCAAGTCTAAAGCGATGACATTGTAAAGAATAAACTGTTTATGTTATATCGCTCCCTCTCAAGATTGATAATACTTTAGCTACAAAACAATGTTTCTTGACTAAAATCGACAGATTTTGTATTCCCCTTTGGAAATTATATATCAGAACTGCATATTCCGAGATTTTTATGGTCCCAGCGTCCATTGTATGGCCGTAGGCGCTATTTGAAATTTATCGGGAGCACCGATTCATTTGATATTTAATTTCTCGAAATCCTTAGCGTTTATAGGTTTCACGATGGTAATGCACCTTTTAAAATTTCATAATCCAATTCTGTTGAAATATTACCAGAACTTTGTATTACCTGTAAGGTTCGGTGTTGACTGACTTCAAGATTGTCAATGTGCATGCAGAATGACCCCTTTTTATTTCATTCCGTCTCCCTCTTACTATCGTGAATCTAATTTCAGTATGCACTCCGGGTAAGTTTGGTGTTGACTGCCTTCAAGATTGCCACTGTGCAGGAGTGATGCCATGTGATGCCTTCTCCGGAAGATGTGAGGGAGACTGTGAGGATGGTTGGTCAGGAGAAGGGTGTCAAGGTATGCCTACTTCCTTTGGGGGACTTACTGGTATATTACAATATAAACATACTGTAAGCATTGGTCCTGCATGTTAGGTAGTTTAAATGTACATGATTGTATTGAAGGGGTTGCTAAAGTAAATTCGTGTAAGATTTTTCCTGTTTAAGGACAAAGTAGGCCGCATAACGTTTTGGCGGAATGTTGTAGTTTCCATATTGGTAAGAAATATCAACAATCGTAATTTTCATTGGTGGGTATAACATTCGATGTATGTATTAGCGGGTAATAATGTCAGATCATTGGTCTCTTTATCCCTAGTCAGTGGTACTATTCAACAGTGTCTGAACTACAACACTATGTAGATTACATGGTGTACTGCACTCCATGGGATCACTGCTGTAACTGCCTCTGGTACAGCCAGAAACTACCATAGCTAGTCTAGGTATTTAAAAATAAACATGGAATTTTGCTTATCACATTATAATATGTGCGTGCAGAAAAACGATTTCCTTCCATTTTAATATTCTCCTTTGGTAAGAACAGTAATAATGAAACAATATTTTTAATACTAAATATTTTGCCATGGTTCGTCCTAATGATAGGTCGAAGATGGAAGTTATTGTGGTTCGGTTAGTATTTTAGACGTCTCTAAAAGGGCGCCTGCCTGGAATGTTCTCAATGGAGTGAAGATGGTGCCGACAAAGCAAGTGGGCAAACCTGAATATGACATCCGGTAAATGACTATCTGTGACGAGTTTTACCAGAGAAATCTTAAATCTATGCGTCCAAAATACATGTAGTTTGTACTTGTTTATATTCATAAAATGAGTATTGTTCATATTATTATTATCGTTTGTTTTGTAAATATTATTATAATAATTATCTAAATATTTACATCCACATACTTATTTGGCAGTTCCCCCTGTCTGTCCAGCTGATTATTTTGGAATAAATTGCACCGAGTTCTGTAACTGTCCAGAGGACTCGGAATGTGAGAAGGACTCCGGTTTCTGTACATCTTCGGGAGGACAATGTGAGATTGGCTACTTTAATTATTTATTCATTCATCATATTTATACAGGATAAAAAATAAACACTCGAATCAGCCAAGCTGTTTTCATCGATGTCCTGTTAACATGATTAAACATTTCCAATAAATACGGCTTTTATGAAAAAATATATATATGCAAGTAATGGACAATAGTATAGGTACCAGACCGAGGATAAAACTAAACATGTAATAACAAATATAATAAATATATGTGTATTCACACAAAACACAGATCTTCCAAAAAATGCTCGTTCATATAATGCTCGCACTCACGCATTATACTTACTCATAATCGCACTTGAAACGTCTTCATATCTTCACTCGCACTTTATAGGCATATTATTTCAAAAACGTGTAAGAACACCACTCCCTACTCCCCCCCCCCCCCCCCCAATGGACACACACACACACACCCACACTTTGTTTAAATATTTTTTTATTAGAGAATTCATTCAAAATCAGTCATTTCATAAAAATCAATGTAAATAATTCCATACAAATACAGATCTTCATTTCGTTTTCATTACATAAATAAATCATTCACAAAACAGTGAGAAAAGAAGGAGAATAATGGAATAAATCACAACAATTTTCTAAGACTAATAGTCACATACTGAACTTAATTACCATCATTCATGAAAAATGAAATAAAATATTAATACATATTTGTATGCAATGCACCCTAAGCCCGCCACACCTTCATCCCTTCTACTACTAATAACCCCCCCCCCCCCTCCACCCCCTCCCCCGTAAACATTCACTCGTACCTCCCAAAACATACACAGATTCACACCCGCACATCACTGGAACTCCAGCCAAACATCCTCACTAACAAGACCACAACAAAGACACTCCCATTAAATACGTCAAACACAACACTTATCCACCTAATATAGAACACTGTACAAATACGCCATTCACGTAAAAGCACCCACCCATACATCTAACCACATACATAACATCCTAACTCCTAACAAAAAATATCACATTCTCACTCACAAGCTCGCACTTCACAAACATATACACAGATTCACACGCGCACAACACTGGACACATCATGCCTGTTTACATTCAAGTTCAAGTTTTCATGTTTCAAGATTATTTTGTTTCACATTTCACCCAAAAAAATCACATAATTGAAAAAATTAGAACATAATATACAAATGATGCATGCGCATGAGTTCATTATACGATCTATCCGCATTCGAGTTGAGGCTGTGTGTATCTTTTGTACGAAGCCTTGTGATGATGATCATCATCATCATCATGGTCTTATGATGATGATCATCAACATCATCATGATCATAATCATCATCATCATCATCATTATCATCATCATGATTAACATTATCATTATTATCATCATCTAACATCATTATCATCATCATCACCATTACTATCGTGATCATCATCATGTTCACCATTGATTACCTGTCTATATAACTTCTCCCTTTCTCTATATAGTAAATACTCAAATCTATCGTAAGAATTGAAGACAGACCACCTTAATCGTCCTCATGACGAATTAAATTTCTAGTTTCTATTCGAGTTACCAGTTAGTCCCATGAATATATCTACCGATACCATAACTCCTAATTCAGCTAAGTTCGTTCCGTTTGGGGTATAACTTTGATTTAAAAGTCACATTGGTTTGTATACGTATTATATATTTAATAAAAATGTTGAAAATGACATTCTGATGACATAACTGCACCGTGGCGTTATTTCGGCGACAGTTTGTATATATTTAATGACAGTTTCTTTAATATACTTCAGTTAATTTCTTTTAGCTTCATCTTGATCTTCATATCTGATCCTGAAAAAAATTAAAATATTTCATCTGATGAAAGAGTATATCAATTGATTTTCATGCTTTGCTGATCATCCTCATTCTCATTTTTCGTTATATATCTCTGTACAAAGTGGATTACATCCAGTGTCTTTTACAACACAAATTCAAATTTTCCATTGTAGACATTGACGACTGTGATCCTAATCCCTGTTTGAATGGTGGATCATGTACAGATCGTGTCGGCTCTCATACATGTAGTTGTGCCAGTGGTTATACTGGAATGAATTGCTCAACAGGTAAATAATTTGCGTCTCAATTCTCTGAAGAATACCAAAAAAATTGGTCAGAAATTCCGTTTTTTAAAAATAAAAGGTTCGTTCCTTTTTGTGTACAACTTTGTCTTAAAAGTCACATTGGTTTGTATACGTATTCTTTATTAAATCTGTAGAAAATGACATTCTTATGACATAACCGCACCGTGGCGTTATTTCGGCGACAGTTTGTATATATTTAATGACAGTTTCTTTTATATACTTCAGTTAATTTCCTTTAGCTTCATCTTGATCTTCATATCTGATCCTGAAAAAAATTTAACTATTTCACCTGATGAAAGAGCATATCAATTGGTTTTCATGCTTTGCAGGTCATCCCCATTCTCATGTTTTATCCCACTGTACAAAGTGGCTTTCATCCAGTGTCTTTTTCAACACAAATTCAAATTTTCCATTGTAGACATTGACGACTGTGATCCTAATCCCTGTTCGAATGGTGGATCATGTACAGATTGTGTCGGCTCTCATACATGTAGTTGTGCTGCTGGTTTTACTGGAATGAATTGCTCAACAGGTAACTAAATTGCGTCTCAATTCTCTGAAGAATACCAAAAAAAAATGGTCAGAAATGTTCCTTTTTGTGTACAACTTTGTCTTAAAAGTCACATTGGTTTGTATACGTATTCTTTATAAAATCTGTAGAAAATGACATTCTAATGACATAACTCCACCGTGGCGTTATTTCGGTGACAGTTTGTATATATTTAATGACAGTTACTTTTATATACTTCAGTTAATTTCTTTTTGCTTCATTTTGATATTCATATCTTATTCTGGAGGAAAAAAACTATTTCACCTGATGAAAGAGCATATCAATTGATTTTCATGCTTTGCAGATCATCCCCATTCTCATGTTTTATCCCACTGTACAAAGTGGCTTTCATCCAGTGTCTTTTTCAACACAAATTCAAATTTTCAATTGTAGACATTGACGACTGTGATCCTAATCCCTGTTCGAATGGTGGATCATGTACAGATCGTGTCGGCTCTCATACATGTAGTTGTGCTGCTGGTTTTACTGGAATGAATTGCTCAACAGGTAACTAAATTGCGTCTCAATTCTCTGAAGAATACCAAAAAAGATTGGTCAGAAATGTTCCTTTTTGTGTACAACTTTGTCTTAAAAGTCACATTGGTTTGTATACGTATTCTTTATAAAATCTGTAGAAAATGACATTCTAATGACATAACTGCACCGTGGCGTTATTTCGGCGACAGTTTGTATATATTTAATGACAGTTTCTTTTATATACTTCAGTTAATTTCTTTTTGCTTCATTTTGATATTCATATCTTATTCTGGAGAAGTAAACAAAACTATTTCACCTGATGAAAGAGCATATCAATTGGTTTTCATGCTTTGCAGGTCATCCCCATTCTCATGTTTTATCCCACTGTACAAAGTGGCTTTCATCCAGTGTCTTTTTCAACACAAATTCAAATTTTCCATTGTAGACATTGACGACTGTGATCCTAATCCCTGTTCGAATGGTGGATCATGTACAGATTGTGTCGGCTCTCATACATGTAGTTGTGCTGCTGGTTTTACTGGAATGAATTGCTCAACAGGTAACGAAATTGCGTCTCAATTCTCTGAAGAATACCAAAAAAAATTGGTCAGAAATGTTCCTTTTTGTGTACAACTTTGTCTTAAAAGTCACATTGGTTTGTATACGTATTCTTTATAAAATCTGTAGAAAATGACATTCTAATGACATAACTCCACCGTGGCGTTATTTCGGCGACAGTTTGTATATATTTAATGACAGTTTCTTTTATATACTTCAGTTAATTTCTTTTTGCTTCATTTTGATATTCATATCTTATTCTGGAGGAAAAAAAAC